CTTCGCCGAAAATACCAGCTCCCAGCTTACCTTCGAGCTTGTATCGGTCGAAGGGGCTCGGCAAGGCCGATACGTTCAGACCGTCCTTCATGGTGGACGGATCATGTACTTAACGTATTGAGTTATCCTGTATAACAGTCAAAATAGGTGTTAAGCTAAAACAAGTTCTAGATAAACTGTTTGGAAACTGGTGTTGTGCTAGGCTTTTGGTTGCACGTGTACTCTGTAAAGTGACTTTGGAGTTTCATACTTACTCAATTTGTTCAATAAATATATATTTTTTTATACTATGGATTAAGATTAATTTAAGTTGGTTTGTTTGTCTTCCTTTCACTGGAAAACTAGTCCTCACTAGCACTATTGTTGTTTTTTGTTAAGAGAACTGTTGGAACTGGGTCTAGACAAGGATCTGGATTTATCGAGTAAAAATATTTAACACTCATGTTCAGTTCCTATTGCTGATAACAGATGGCGCTATTTTACATATAACGCTACCATTTTGTGTATGCTATTGATATTTCATTACTCATTAACTCGTCGAGCACCGTCATTATAGACACAATTAAAGAACAATAGGTTGCGGTCACCGGTGACCGCTTGGTGTTTGACAGTTTAATCTAATAAGTTACTTAGTACATCAATAATGTACTAAAATGGGTCAAACATTAGTGAAGCCCACAATAAACTTATGAACAAGTAGGTATTCGTATGAAAATTCAACTAATTGTCTAAGTATGTGTAAAACAAAAGTTATAATATTACGTCTATTATTAACTGAGAAAATGGGCGACGAACATTTTTCAACCTCAATTTATGAACAAACACAGCACACAATAGGTAACGTCTTTTTTAATAACGAATTAATTACAACAGCAATTTATTTTCCAAACTATTAATTTAAATTGAAAAAAAACAACACTACTTACCCACTTTACTCCAACCACTTCCAACGACACGGCATCGGCCACGGCGCAGGGCCGAGTGTTCCATTCCCTGCCGAGAGCTCACAAGTGCTAGGGCTTCACGTATTAAGAACACTGCTAATCCCCTAATAGTATTAGGTCATAATGCCTTACGACCTTCCTACATACCTTGGATACTATTTAATTGGGGACGCGTTTAATTGTGTTTCTCTACCTAAGCACGTTAGAACTAGATGTTATATCTAGGTAGTAATCAGTACCTACGTAACCATGGATCTTTTTATTGGATTGCTAAATCCGTAAAAGTAATTAAGAGTCCAATTAAGGAGGTTTTGTTCTCGAAGTATCTTAATCGTGTATTTAAGGATTATCATTATCATTTTAGCATAGTATACTTAGTAATAATTATAGTACGTGGTCATTAACATTTTTCTCCGTCAAAGAGTAACGTGTTATGGGTGAAATAATATCTCCTTTTTTGTACCTTATCCCGAACAACTTAAGATCGACATATTAATAGTGTCTTCTTTTTCCTTTCGCTTTTTTAAGGGGTCATCCTAATACTTTCTTTCCCTTTCATAATATAATTTTTGTACTTACAATGAAGAAACAAAAGATTAAAAAGTAAGAAAGTAATAAAGATTTCAAACTTAGAAGTCTAAGGAACCCAATACAACCAACTAAATAGAATACGAAGAAAAATAAAACCTCGTTCCATCAAAACCTTAACGATACCAAAAATCAATCATAGTCTAAACTATCCCCTCAGAAATACCGTTCCGAAAGACGACTGTGAAATTCTTGTTTAGGAAACAATTATCGAAATTAATTCGCAACACATACTCTGTGTGATGGATCTTTTTAAAAAATCAATCTGTCATGCCAACTAGTATTTGATCATGCCCCTATAACTTTAAGAGCGGAAAAGCAATGAATACAAAAACGGTTATTCAAAGTTCAATGGCGTACCTACCTGTTTTTGAATGTCAAAAAAGATCCGTCAATATACTGTTAGGTTTGTGAATGATCAGGGATGTGAAAGGAAGGGTAGATTGAAAGTAATCTCGGATAGTGGTTTTTGGAAGTCTTTGATTACATTCAAAGACTGAGAATACGTTTGAGTTTAAAAGTAACTAAAAGTAGTTTGTAGGTATTTGTGGATCCTTTATATATTTGGGCCATTGCTCTTTAAATCTCATTTAAAGGTATGCATTTTAAAGGTATTCCAAAAGAAAAATATGCTAAGACATAAATAAATAATTAAAATGATAAAGTTAATTATTGTAATGTATTTAGCAGAGGGCACCGCTGACGGGAAAAGTTACGTCAGTCCTTTCGCTGTCACTCTCAAACTATTTATTTATTATCCAATTGAATGACACAAGGCAACATACTGTTTAGTCTAGCCTTAATCGACATTTATTTTTATCAAAAAAAAAAACAGTGTAAATGGCCATTACATTCGAGTGATTCGATCACGAACTTCCCATAACTATACTGAGTGACAGTCAGCAATCAATATCTCTATTTTAAAAATCCTCAAATGTATCACATCAGTTTTAAAGTTTTTTTGGATGTCTTGAAATGATACCCATCAACAAAGCGTTGGAGCAACAAGAACCCTTGAGTCAAGGGGTCAAATTAGCCGAGAGTAACACGATAATTGTGACCCTACTTGAAATACAGCTTCTGTTGAAGCACCTACTTGAAATGTATGTGTAAGTGTTTGTAAGGCACCGAGGTGAATGGGATTTGTTGTAATATGAATGGTTTTGGATCTTGAGAAATAACAATTGTTTCTTTTTTGTGTTCATTCACGTTTAAGTTTTGTGTTTCGTGTATAGAGCAGTGCTTGTTGCTTTCCGATATATTCATATATCGTTTTGCTTTAGGTAAACTTGCGAAGGGTTGCGCAGATGTGATATTGTTGTTGTATTCGTTTGCATGCAAGATGACGTATTTGTGTACCTATTACAAAGCAAAGATAATATTAATTCAGTGCTTCAGGAGCCTTACTGTAAATTGTAATAGTAGACTAATCAGACAGTTCTCCAATTTATTTTTGCTTACATAATTATTTTTAGTACCGTCGTTTTCGAGTTTTGAGCTTAACAACATATCTACAATAATTTCTTTTATACATATACTATCTACGTTTCAAAAACCCGACTGCAATCCCCTGTTTTTTGAAGTCGGTTAATTATATAAGTACTTACCTTCTCGTAAGTGTAACAAATACTTTTTTGAATACTGCATTAAACTGTCAAACACCAAGCGGTCACCGGTGACCGCAACCTATTGTTCTATAATTGTGTCTGCAAAACCGGTACTCGACGAGTTAAATTCGGGTAAACCAATAGCGAGATAATCGTGCACCAACAAGACATATGTCGCACAGGTCCAGCTGAGAATCTCCTGTGTTCTTTTGAAGTCGGTTAAATACACGTAATAACGATAGATACGTTTTAGTATAAAAAGTAACATAGATTACTAAAATAACTAAGATTTCCTTTAAGATTCTTTTTATTTCCTTAAATAAAAACCGTCGGTACAAAGTCTTATAACTACAATAAATAGTTAATTCAATAAATATCACGGAACAGGAATGCTTAAGTACAATATTACGCAGTTACATGGATATTTACATAATACTACATTACCTACAATTACGTGCAAAAAAATAGCATACATCTGATTCTGTTCACAAAACAAAATACATTGTATTTTAGTCTCGATGCAATTTGAATCATTATACAATAAGGAAATTGATAAATGTATTTTGAATTTTCAATCAATCTTAACCCCTGGTATGTCGGGGACGTATATATACGCGAGACACAATGTGTTTTCTACTGTATCTCATAAACCGGTAGATAAGGGGTTAAAGCCCCGTATTCATATGGTAAACTTTGATTAGGAAAAGTTGATTAACATTGTTGGCGAGTAGCGAGTATGATGCTAGCAACTTTACTATGTTTAAATCTATACAGATTGTCCACATGCCAGTCTGCGGTAAAATGTTGATTGAGGAGGTAGTGTTATTGTCGCTAAACTGCGGCTGTAGCCAAATGCCATTTAGCGCTTGTCTACATGTAGAATAGAAAACCAAATTTTGACACTTGTCAGTGTCATCCCCCATACATTTAGGTGTCTCCTCTCTCTGTAGACAACCGCTAAAGTGGCATTTGGCTAAAGGCACATGTTTACGCTTGTCGGGCGAGAGTTTGTCAACATGACAATCTGCAACACGCAGTGTTGCTAGCAACATGTTGACAGCAATTTTGCAACATGTTGATGATTACGGGGCTTTACTCTACGAAATTAACGCTTTTCTCTTCAATAAGCAATACAAAAATGGCAATTTTAAAGACCTAATACGAATAAGTATTGCTAAATAAAATGTTGTGTATGTACCTATTTATTTGCACGCCTCTCTACCATCGTTATGTCAGTAGATATAAGTACAAATAGTTATGGTTACTACTTATATTGTTATACGTATTAAAAGTGTCTTTCATTAGCTTAAACCTCGAATCTAATTAAGCCAATTTGTCATCTTTAACCTTTATTGCATGACTTAACAAATAGGTTATTTTGTGACAAAAACCCGGTGTGATATGCTATCATTTCACACGGCTTTACAGACAATTCGTGTATACGAATTAAGTGTCTTTTCTAAGTGCAATAGATAAATATACATGACGGATGAATTAAAATTCCGAGATAGACATAAATGAGCATTTAAGATTGTCTATAGATTAATACTGATTTTATTAACAACTTATAACTAACATTGGAATATTTTTATACACTTTCTAATTCCGACACATTAAGTGAATATTATATATAATAATATACGTTGTAATGAAGATTAAACGTGATGTATGAGTACCTCGTTGGCCGAGTGGCCAGGCAAAGTATTTATGGGTTAAAAAAGCTCAGTAGTAGCACGGAGTCTAGAACTGTGCCCGGTATATGACAATAGGCTCACCCCTAAATACATGGAACTCATGACATAAATAGTGAAAAGTGGGTGTTACATTGTACAGTGGCATTAAGTGCCGTAATGTGCACCTGCCTACCCCTACCTACCCCTTCAGATAAAAAGATTGATGCTATGCTTATTACAATTACATAATTTTTTATACTTGCTTACAATACTTAAGTATAACTTTTAAATTATGAACTGTGTTAAATTAATTAAATAAGTAATATCGTTTATTTGGTAATTCATATTCGCAATAAATATACAAGTTACTTGCTAATGGAATGTAGGTACATAAAGGAATGGTTTCAATATCGAAATATTCATTCTACGAGTACTTTACAGTTAAGTTTCATTGTAATGTAGAAGACATGTATTGAGATAAGTTTAGGCGTTTAAATAAGTACCTTTTTTTAATACCCTACGTACATATGTCATAAGCGAAAGCGCCGTGGAGCAGATCTTACACGATTTTCAATCTTATAACTTTACAATAAGAATAAAAATCTAAGGAAGAATTAAAGAGGATTAAATTAGTGATAGTAAAGCGTTTTTAAAAGAATGAAGAATTAGCTTCAACTTACCAAAATCACATTAAATTCAATGTCAAGTAAGTTTCGGATAACAATTAGTTTAGTCCTCACTCCCGCCTTCGTTTATAACATAGAACACCTCCCCATTGGACCATTTAGGCCATTTAGTCTCCAATGAGAAATCCTCATTGCATTGCGCCATTACTACAGCACTACTTACAAATCGCAATCCATTTGTCGTCACGACATCTTTCGCAGTCGACTCTGCAGCACCAATGGAAGGTGCAATTACAAGGTTTTATACTAGACTTCCTGATCAAGGCATGACCTCGTCCGCAACAGAGCAGGTCACAGGATCCCGTCCTTGTCGTCCGACCGATGCGACAGACCCGACCTGATGTACCAGCTGAGTCCGTTCTAGGGTTCACGTCGCAGAAACTTGGTGATCTAGAGGACAGAAATTTGATTTGGTTGTGGAAAACTTGAAATAGAACCACGAAGGTTAGTTCGCAGTTTTGTTTTTCCTAAATAGTAGATTTTATTGTCAAAAAGTGGACATTGTCCCAATTTCTTCAAGAATAAAAGCATCGTCAAAAAGATCTCTGATCACAGCTAAGTTTTAGGTAATGAAACCGAACACTTTTTTGCTGCAGATAAGATGGACTCGTTTATATAATTCAGTGATTCATATATAGCGTAAATTACTATTCAAAAATTTCATAAAAGATCATTTACAATATTATGAACTTACCTCTCAAAGAACAGCAGGCTGGTCTTCGGAGCAGGTCGCGCCTTCCCTCGCCTCTTGCCTCTGGGTCTACCTCTCAGAACTGAGGGACTATTATTTAACTCCTCTTGAGCTACCATTAACGCCTGCGAAAACAAAATCCATATTTTATGATAAACACATAAGAGATTATTAACTAAGGCCATTGCAAGATGACATTATAAGAATTGACAAAAGTTCTTTGGTGTTTTATTAGATTAGATCTGCTATTGAATGTTAATAGTAACAGGGACCAAACAAGTTAAGAAGATGAATACGGTAATTATTGAAACCTATTTGTCTATAAGAAAATGGAATCTATTGAGTTTTGACTTCAATGTTCTCCTTATCTAATTATGAACATCTTTACCTTTCTATACTGTCGTTTGATGGTAGATGCTACAGCTCTGAAGTCAGGCGTGGCTCTCCAGCACGTCCTAAGCTGACAGCTACCTGACAACCCATGGCATTTGCATCGCACCTCCATATGGGATGACAGAATCTGAAATTAAGAGATTAATGTTTCATCAAGACAGATATATAATGACTTAATTTTGTTTCATTTGTTTGTATAGTCATCTATAATTGATTAAAAGACAAACACAAGTGAAATAACAATATCTTAACTGCAGCATCATCAAATATTTTCTACTACACAAACTACACAAAGCCATTAAATTTTTTTTTAACCTAACTCCAAAAATCAGGAACAGAGGAACAGAAATCGACAAAAACCAAAAACACGCAAGCAGCATTTCATAAATCTTACAAAAACCTGTCCGAATAAAAAGGTAACAAAGAAATCAATCTCAGCGTCCACATATCATGAGCGAAATTACCCCTTACTCGACACCAGAACAACAGACTATTCGCAACCGAACGTAAAAAAAACTTGAAGAATAATATGATATGAAGTTGGTCTCACAACGCGTCGAATCGTAAATCCGTTGTCTCCATACGTGACCGCATCGACACTCCACGCTGATTGTGCCACCCACCACTAGCTTAACATTTACATAATTAAACGCCTTACTGCAATCAAACTGACGTCTTAATTTCGCCAGAGCCGCCGGCCGAACAATTTCCTAAATTGAGTCGGAGCAAAAATTCAAATAAATCGGCATCCTTCACGCCCCTTCGAGCCGCGGACCTTAATAGCGTGGTATTAAGAGCGTTCGCGATAGAATTCACCACCCAAGACGTTTGTAATACGTTGTAATGAAGCCGGAATATTAAAAATGGTTCCGAACTGCTTATTATGTTCTCACCTCGACGGGGCGGCTCGTGAAATACGGTCGGCTAATGCGGAGCCCGAGGCCTCTCCGGCCTCTGCCACTACCAATAGTTCCTAATTGTGGCGCTATATGCAACACGGCTCAATTCACTTTTATAGCACTTGATCACGACTTAAAACGTGATGGGGAATCTTAATGTTTGAGTCTTCTGAACCCGTTCTTTAATGCCTAATACAATATTGAAATATCGTTCTAGAATTTTAATACCGCTTTTAAAGATAGACATTTGCATCTGCAAAAAATGTAATTAAAATAAACGCAGCTCTACAAACAATATTTCATTTCAACCCTTACCTAGTATTAATCTAAACGAGATCCAACAGAAATAGTACGTTTGATTAAATCAGCAAAGTCGAAGGGAACCATCATGAGAACGACTTTAATCATATGTTTACCCACTTACGTACATGCGTTGGAAATAAATCATTTAATTTAAGTGCTAAAAATAAACAGCGGTTTTAAGAGAAGTTCACCGTTTTTAATTAAACACTAGAAGCTTCGAAGGACTCAATCATCGGGTACCTATCATCAATCTAAATTACGTTTAAGCACTATACTTGATTTATTTACTTAATGACGTCTGGGCCCTTGAGTGGCTGAGTGCAGACTAAACACGTTATCATTAAAGTGCTGTTAAAATATTATAGTTTATTTATGTGCTCCCTGTGTTGCTGTTGAGAAATGGCTCATTAACGTTTGTTTTGATACTTTTGATGTTTGGCTTTGAAATAATAAGTGTATTGGGAATTTTACATATGCTGTGTACTTGTGTAAACCCTTTCGTTCGTGGATTTGGTCTCTGAATTTTTGATTTAAATTTCTTAATCATTTTCGCGAAGTGTTTTCTAACCATAATTTTCATCATCGTTTCAATGGTTTAGGTGTAAGCTCAACGACAAACTTGTCATTTATTTTGATAGAATTTATATTAAAACCTGTAATTAGGAGTTCAGAACTGAATTTCTAGTTGAAACCTACCACTTAACATAAAACGAATGACACATACCTATTACAGATTCCTGTCCCCAAGCAAATCAGCTTATAGATAAACAAACCGCTGGACATTTGGTTAACATTGTGAAATGTGAATCACAACATAATCTTACTGCCGATTAACAGACCAACGCTAATAGGTTTAAGATGACCGTGGTTAATCTGACGGGCAAATTAACCATTAGTTTAACCGCACACGGAGAAGGCGCGGCTACTAACGGTGGTAGGGTTGTCAGAGAAGTTAGAAGAGTATATTTGGTACACTTTTAGACTTGAATCTTGACTATATTTAAAGTTTTATAAGGAGTTTGTAAATAGGCCGCTAGCATGGTGCAAAATTACTAAAAGTTATACATTTTTGCATTATGGAATCTGTCTTTACAAATCGGTCAGATTTAGCTTATGAAGCTTAATTTGAATGGTATATATAGTCAGTTTTGTGAATGGACGGATAGTGGATGTGAATTAAGTAAGAATGATTAGGGAAAGAGGTTTGAAAATGGCTACGTTCTGAATTATATAACCTGATTTTGCAGAATCCTATTCTTAACTATATAGCTTAACAATCCTATGAAAAAAATGACATTAATTATCAGTCAAATATCTTGGGACTGTATAAAGAGAAAAACGTTTTTTTGCATATCACTACTGGTCTTTTTTTTTTTTTTTTTTTTAAGGGGGGAAAATCATCGAATGACTGCCCCCGCCTGGGTGAGGCGGGAGGGAGTGTCAGACTCTTACTGACTAAAAACCACCCCGTTCCTTCTCCTGCACGTCGAGCCGGAGCCCCGGTTACCCGTTAGGTTCTCCGCGACCCGTTAGGTTCTCCGCGACATCACTACTGGTCTATATAGTCAACAATCACACAAACTGCCTACACAAGCAGACAGTAACTTATTTACTTGATTATTCTTCTTAGATGCAACCCTAATAGAAATAAAGAAGGAATTTTGTTACAGAATGAGGTAAACTTGTTTGAAACAGAGGTTGTATTTCTTTGGTGGTTCGCTAGTTTGGCTGTTAACTCACAGCATTACTACAAATGTACTTATATTGATTTCAAATTGAATTTCTATTAAAACAATGACGATGACATGAAAACTCATGTCACCTGTCGTTTGCCTAAACGCGGATCCGCCCGAGACAACGTATTACGAATAACCACTGTGACCAGACGGTTGAGGACAATTGATACATAAACGACGCATTGCGAAGTTTAGCAGAGATATGTTTCATAATAATCATAATAGCAATAACAGTTTTCTCAATTCCAAAAAAAATGTGTGTGTACAATTTTTGTCAATTGTCAGTCTCTAAAAATATCCATCAAATTACAGGTTACTTAACTCAAACCTAAATAACTTAATTATAACGAGAAAAAAAATATCAATTCAAATTCAAACAATGATTACAAAACACGTCAATTCCAATTCATCTTCCTTAATAACATTCCAAAAAAATCGACAAAACAATCTTCAAATCGATATTTCAGTCCTCGAAACAACGAAATATTAACTCTTCGTATGTATGTATAGATTTTTTATAACATAATTATCACCTCGGCTCTCTAATGTGGTACCTAATTTCTTGTGTGGGTCGAACCGAGATCTTTTATAGATCCCGCTGGGGAGCCTTCAAGACTGACTGTTACACCGTCCTGTATCTATTTTAGAGGTTGCTACGTATATGAATATTCGGTTATGATGAAGATGATTTTGAGTAAAAAAACGACTTTATACGCATTTTTCCTAGCTATTCAGTTGTCCGTAATTAATAAAGAATTAGATGCATCAATGCGTCGTTAAAAAATGTTAAACTTATTCATTCTTTGTTTGCTCGATTCTCCCACTTCGCATAAACAAATAACATTAATTCAATCGCTTGGCGCATACCGAGTTGCATTGCAATCGAATAGCACTTAATCTAAATTACCAGAACCGATTACCTTCTATGGATTATCTGTAAACGATACAAAGCTTGCAAAGATTAACTCCTATTCATAAATTATGATAATTTTCTGTACACAATACGAATGCTTTATAAAACAACGATAGATACTTGATTTAAATTGCCTTTCGAACAAGCGTGTGCTAAAAAAGAGAAGCAATTTATCGAGTGGTTTTTGATGATTAATCTTGGCGATTAAAGGTTCCAGGTGGACGATAAAACGGCACCATCTGACGAAACCAGCCACCTGGTGTGGTACGGTGTGAGGTGTTCCGACTTTATTTTGACATTAATAAAAATATCATCGCAGGGGTTATTATAAGCGAGCGTGTCTAACAGATCTCACTGGGAGGCTGTTAATTATGTGGCCACAAAACAAAATGTCGGTACCGTCCCGAACAATGGTCAAGTGTGGTCGGACCACCGGCTTCGCTCTCACATTAATGGGTCAATTTACCTTCACGGCTTGATGCGTAATATGTAATATTAAATATTTGATGTATATGGACAAAAAGTGGGTGAGTTTACTCTGATCGTTGCAATTGATGGGATTTTCTTTCGATTGCTCTGTTTCTAGTTTTTCGTGGGCGGATTTGGTGATGGAAGGGATTCGCACAATGAGAAATATTATGATCGTCTTCAACGTTTTGTGTTTGTATTTTTTTTTTGTGGAACGCGGGGTTGATTATTCTGTATGAACTGTTAAATGTTGATATAATATCTTATTCGCTGAGATTAAATCCAAGGCTTGATTTTTAGGTGAATTGCAAGTTTTTAATTTAGGTAGTGGCTTTTACTCAGTCCTTTCTTAAGAAGTCACTCTATTTATTATTTTAATGCTGTATTATTATTTACTTCAGTAAGTATATATTATTATTTTCTATAGTTACCTAATTTCTTCCTTTTACCCAAGACATCAAACTTTTGTAAATTAGCATTCGAACTTGTTTAAATAAAATTTTAAAATCATAATTTATATATAATACATAATGAATTATTTTCCATAAAATTATTATAATGTCCATGAAATCATAATTACATGGAAACTACTTAGTTAACAATGAAATTTTAATTAGAGGAGAACATATAGCGTCTATAAAAATTAATTCTACGGCGTTTAATATTTTAACGACTTGTTGTTGGCAGTATATTTTAGTAATGGCAACATTGTAAGTAGTCGTTTTATTTAAAGATCATCCGATCATATAATCGTAAACGTCAAAGCTCTGTGTTTAGTAGTAAATTATTTTTAATTACTACATTAAGT